TCTGGAGACAGCGGCGTGTGTGGCAGCCAGAAAAATGTATCTGGGACATAAAAGGATGGTGGAGGTCGGTTCGTTACGTTTTGTCGGTCCCAGGGGCGTGCCTTGCGCGGTGGGCTAGTAGCTCTGTAGGTACATGAATGTTTAATGCTGACGTCACAATTCAGATTTGTATCCACTAGTGGAGTAAGTTTATAGCCCACTGTTGTCCCACGTCAGGCAATAAAGGGGCGTGTTTATTGTTTTTCGTATTGCGAGTTCAAGGTTTCGTCCGCTTCGGCGCAATTTTATTGCTCCTAAATTGCGCTATAAAATAATACTATGATTAAGTATAGCACTTTTGGTAAGGAATTGGAGATGGTTTTTATTTTAGTGCATTAATTCAACAAGGTGTTGTTAAGCCTTATTGAAGTCGCGGAGAACCTAACGGGTAACCGGGGCTCCGGCTCGACGTGCAGGCGAAGGAACGGGGTGGTTTTTAGTCAGTAAGAGTCTGACACTCCCTCCCGCCTCACCCAGGCGGGGGCAGTCATTCGATGATTTTCCCCCCTTAAAAAAAAAAGCCTTATTGAAAATTTTTTTTTTAATTTCCAATCAACATATATTTCCTAACTGTTGAATTTTTTTTTTTAAGTTTTTAATATTATAGAAAAATGGCCAGTTTATATTTTTTTTTTGTTTTGGCCTCTGTCCAGCAATAGAAAAAAAAAGGCTGTTAATGGTGATGAATATGGGAAAAATGTCTCTGAAAAAAATTAACTGGCGTTGAAATAATCGGCCCTTAGTCTTATAATAAAAAAAGACTTTTCAATTGCTATAATCACAATAGCGACTAATAATCAAGTCAGTTCAGGTCTAGTAAAAAAGAATATATGTATTTTCGACTTTATTATTTTACTCTCATGGTAATTAGTAGAAGAAGGATAGGTAATCGATTTATGACAATCGAAATATAAGGGGCACGGAGCCATGCTTATGAGATATTAGACTTGTATACGAAATTAATACAGTTAAATAAAGCACATCATCTACATTTTTGTAGATAGAAAAGCGAATATTCTAAATTTTACTGAAAATCATAACATCACGCCTTTTTATCCCCGAAGGGGTAGGCAGAGGTGCACATTACGGCACTTAATACCACTGTCCACTATTTATTCACACCCACTTTTCACTATTTATGTTATGAGTCCCATGTAATAGAGGGTGAGCCTATTGCCATATACTGTTCACGTTTTCAGACTCCGTGCTACTACTGGGATTTTTAAAAACCTAGTAATACTTTGCTCGACTCGGGAATCGAACCCGAGACCCCTTGCCCGGCAATCGAATTTGCGGCCACTCGGCCAACGAGGCAGTCATTTACCGAAAATTACCAATAAAAAATCCATACCGATATAATTAGTCTTCAAAATGTCGGTCTATTTCTGAGAATAACCCTACTACAGAAGTACTTTGTACATATAATATACCAAGAATAATCAAGTTCCCTTTAATGTGTTATTAAACAAATTATGTAATTACTTTCAAGAAAATATTTTAAGACATGTCTGTTACAACAACTTCATATACCGTCGCTTCGTTTAATATTAATTAACCTCTAAGACAAAATAATTATAATGTTAAACCATTTAACAATTCATATTTTAATTAGATTCCGGAGCTTGTTAGTAAAGGGTTATAGATATAGGGAATTAATCCTGATAATAGTAACGTATAGACTCTATGCATCATATGTGTGTGTGTTTCAATTTACTTATACCCAAGTGGGAGATTATTGAGTCACGTGTTAATACAAACCAGTATAAACTGATCTTTCTATGTGCGGAACGATCACGCAAGGTAAGGTCATGATAAACTGGTTTATATAGCTTGATGTGTTGCCCTGAGTAGGACTTCGAAATCTATGTCAGAATGTAAGGTAGTTTGGTGGTCTGGAGGATTACAAATTTCGAAGATTTGTATTAAGGATATGCTTTGATGAAATAGTTATTATGACTGTTTCTATTGTTACAGTTCATCTTGTAATGTGCATTGTGCATAAATAATTGTTAGAAAAGAATTGACTTTATTTTTCCATGGGATAAGCTAGTAAACGAGCATACAGATCACTTGATGGTAGCAATCGGTGTCACGCATGGACACCTGGTACATCAGAGGCATTACGAGTGCCTTATTGGCTTTTTGGGGATTCGGGCCTCCGATAACCTCACTCACACGAGGAAATACAACGCAAGCATTGTTTCACGTCGGTGTTCTGTAAGGCCGTGGTATCACTCCGGTTGAGCCGGCCCATTCGTGCCGAAGCATGGTTCTCCCACACTTAAATTATTGAAAAAACTTGACTTTATTTAAAAGTATACAATCATAATAACAACTGAAGTTTTTGTTTTCCAACCTGCATACAAAATTCTTGTACTGAACGTACCTATAACTATTGCACGTGGAACATGATTAGGTACTAACTCCTGCCAGGGACTTTGCCTGCTTTTCTTTATAAAAAAACTGGCTTATGTGATTTTGTAGACCATAATTTACCTACTTTTGTTCCCAATTTCGTCCCGATTGCTGCCGTTTTGACGTGACGTACCAACAGCATTTATAATATTAGTAGGATTTAATCAATTGCTGAGAATTGACATTATTAATACAAGAGTGACTATCAGAAATACAAAGTTATGACTCTATGACCTTTCTGTGAAGAGTATGTCATACCCTCGTTATGTTGTAGACATTTTACAACACGTTTGTGAATTGTCTACAAAATGTTTGTGAATTGTCTACAAAATATGTACATTCAAGTTCTGTTGACATTTTGTTGGTGAGCTTTGGAACAAGTTTTTGATATTAGGTAGTACTTTTTTATTTACATTGAAATTGTTACACAAAGTTTAAATAGGTTATTAGTGAGTTTAGTCCCCACTTGACAACAAGAGAGTCGTGTGAAAGGAATTTTCATACAAATATGGCTCTTGAAGAAAACATAAACTGAGAAATCAGACAAAGAAGTGGCTTATTGTTGAGAAACAGATTCCCATGTAGCCGATCTCAACAAAAAAAAAGAAAAAAAGTGAGTTTAGTTTAGTATTGTAATTGTGGCTAATCAATTCGAACTTCTGAAGTGAGTATTAGTCGGAATTCTCTCAACCAATAATATGGCGGACCGGCGATCGAGTTCACTTCGATCGTTCATATTGAAATTTGCAGTATAGCCTAGCCCTAAATTATAAAGTTACATAAAGATTAATCCATCACATCGTTCGCCTAAACGCGGATCCACGCGAGATTCAATGTATTTTGACTATTGTGTCTTATATTCGCATTCAAGCGAATAAAGAAATATTTAATCCTTACTAATATTATAAATTGGAAAGTGAGTTTGTTTGTTTGTTTGATTGTTCCGCTTTCAAACCGTATCTACTAAACCGATTGCTTTGAATTTTTGCAGGCGTAAAGTTAGAAGTCCGGATTAAATAACTTTATATCCCGGAAATGATATTCCCGAGGGAACACAGAAGTATTGGTATAGATGGCGCTGTGTGTATTAGTATATGTCACATAGGCTACTTTTTATCCTTTTGTGACGCGAGCGAAGCCGCGGGTAAAAGCTAGTTCCTAATAATTTGTTTCTGTGCACTGAATACCACACATGTCTTCAAATCAATAGACCAATATAAAAATATAGAGTAACATAATTTTTATTCCATACATTCCGAAAAGATGTAAATTTATAAAAGAAAATTTTCAAAAATTATATTCTCATAGAATTGAAAGCAATAATAATGTAGTTTAAATGCTGTTCCACGGAAAATAAAATACTACATAGAAATATCTCTAAATAATAATTAAGCTTCGTAAATATGAAGTTCCAATTTCAAAACGGAATGGAAAAACATCGCATACACTAACGCAGTCGCACAGAAAATATAATTTAATTAAGTCACATTTTATTAAAATATTCTTTGAAATTACATTTTTAAAACACGTGCTTACGGTTTCTTTATACCTTTATGAAATTATTATTAAATGTAAATGTAAATTTGAAATATCAATTTAATATTTAGATATCCAGATTTACATTTCTCGCCGGAGAATTTTATAGCAAAACCGTCTTAATCCCCTGGGCCTAAAAGGTTACATCTGTCTAACAACACTAGTAAACAAATAAAATATATCGCCGACACGTGAGATAGAAATTACTCTAAATCTGGCACTAGCCTGCGTCCCTGGCCATACATACAAAATATGAAATTTCCCCTTTATTTTGACCGTGGCACACATAAAGCATATTCGTATAAATAACGGATAGGGATTTTTTGCGGGTGTGCGGGTTAAAATATTTTGTGATATGAAGGACACCTCTACTGGTTTATGTTTCTACATACATATGTATGCGTATATGCATATGTTAGTAGTTTGCTGCGTTCCCCGCCTTGTTATGATCATGTACGAACGTGTTTTTTGTTTTACATGCACGCTACAGCTCGGAAAAAATCGAGAAACAAAATATGTAGAGGTATTGTTTTTACTTAGAAAAGATGAACGTGATTTAGTACTACAGTCACGTTCAAAAATCTGATTGAATAAGATTCCACGAAACTAGCCACAAAACAAGTCTTTAATTCATAGAATTTCATCGAATATCGAGTGAAACTCACCAAATAAACTGTCAATTTTGTTCTCGACTTCAAATACACCTTGAATTGATTGAGCGTTCCGAACTAATCAATAGGTCCATTAGCCGCCCAAAGTCAATCGAAAGTATTTTCGTCGCCAAAAACAAAGCCGTCACGGGACGAAAACCGACAAAAACCAATTATCTTCGCTTCAGCCTTAACCTATCAAATCGAAATAAAATGTAGAAAACACCAGTCGGATGATTGGTTATTACTTTTCCTCACCGCAACCTATCGACTTCCAAATTGGAGCCACCGTAATAACTTCTCGACGATTCGATATAAACTGTGTGACGTGTTCAGTACATTGAATATACGTGATATTACCTTTGGTGCTCTCGACGACGCAGTCTATCCTCCAGAGAAGCAGGGCCGCGTACACCGTAAGTAGCATCTTGCCACCGCGGGAGCAAAATAATTCACTTTTATGGCCCATCTTCATACACATCCAAATTTTCGGCAATGCCGCCTTTTATAGGCGAAAGTCGAAACATCACAACACCACTTTTGTAGCACGAAACAAAAGTCGTAGGGACACTGAACGTTATGCGACTGTTACGAGCGACACTTTTACTGCAGCGAATTTATACCGGGCGACAAAAGTAATTTGTGTAGTATACGATGCATTGACACTGCCTCCCGTTTTATTTCTTTGTTGTTTTATCTGAAACAAAAGAAAATTGAGTTAAGGATAGTTTGTGTTGAATTTTCACGGTTTAAAATGATTCATTGGTTTCGACACCACGGAGTTAACGTAGCGTGGCGTTTGACATAGCGGGCTCAGTTCACATGGCGGATACAATATGGGACGCGGGAAAAATATACCTTTAATAACTTTGTATGAAACTACAGAGAGCAGACTAGCCTTGGCAGTTTGATCTGTATACGTAATTGTTGCATGTATTGCCTTGGGTCGATTGATCTCTTGTGCGTCAATTTTTTGTTAGTTTTATATTATAAAGTCCTAATCCATACAATATAGCAAAACAAATTCCTTGGGTCTATCTACTTTGTACATAACCAACACCATCTTAAGAAAAAAATAGCGAAAAGCTTCATATCAACATCATTATGGCCATGTCTCCATAATGTAAGCAGCTTATAAGAAAATAAAACTAAGATAAACAGAACACAGGTGGTGGCTTAGTAACACTAAAGTAGGTTATTTTAGCTCATAATAACCAAACGTCTACGGCACCGCTTCTTCGCTTATCTAGGTAAGAATAAAAATATAAACCCTGCAATGTACGGAAAATGTTGACAAAACGGAAGGATCTTTTGAAAAATACTCGTAATTTTTATTACAGTATGCACACCTTATTACATTATTATTTAACGCCAATTATGACACCAGTTACCGATTAGTTAGAGATGCGCATTGTCGTGGGAAATCTTGAGAGAAGGGCAAGAGGATGATACCCTACCAGATGGTCTAACCAGCTCGAGGACAACCCAGCATCGAGGTTCTTCACCATAATACAAGTAGCCTGGAGACAATTCGTCCGATCCAGAGTGATGCCGAGATGCCGATTCTCAGTCACGAGGGTAACAGAGACCTATTAGTTCCTAAAAATACCAATTAATGATTACTTACAAACAAAAGAGTAAGATCATAAAAGAATCATTTTTTAGAAAAACTGAACATATCAGCATGAAATCCTTTCATTATGAATTATATTGAAAACTGTAATATAAGAATACGGTAAACTAACATAGAAATAAATATAAATGTAATTTATCCTTTAAAAATACATTAAAAATAAAAGCATAAAACCTCCGCATTCTGATCCCCGCAGGCAATGCTTCGTATTGTATTAATTTTGTACCTTTTATGACAGTTCCCACATCCAATCTTGAATGACATTCTGGGCATTATTCCAATTCAGAATTTTAACGAAATGATTATTTATTTTAATGAAAATCTGCGCACATTTCCTTTACTGTTAAGTTTTATTTATTTTCAAGCACGTAGCGATTGAAAAGATTAATGCGGTAAATACAGAAATATAAACGAAATAAAATATGCTTGTGTATTTCTTATAACTGTATCACTTGTATTTCGTAAGGGATTTAGTTAAAGCTTTACTATAACTCCCACGTTTCCTCAGTAGTATTACATTTCCTGATAAATATCACAGGATTACCTAACCTAACATCCCAGTTTTACTAGAGAGATCATCATTACAGCTGGACTATCTTACATACTTTTGGTGCTAAAATTCCAGTGACATAAAAACATTTTCTACAATGCAATTTCAATCAACAATCCAAGTTATAATTGAATTAATGTACAACACAGCTATCCAATTAAAAAACATCTATACATAATAACACATAAGGTGCAGATTAAAAAAGCATTTTTATAGCACATGTAAACCGTTTCTTGTTTATCAGAGGTAGGAATCTCAGGCATGGAACCGTCATTTACTGTGGGAATCTCATTTGCTACTGGAATAGCTCTACTTACGTGAACAATTTTATTTTACGGTAGCAGACTACTTTATATTTATTACTGCGTATGTAATACTTATGCTCACAATTAGACTAGCTTTTAGTCTCTAAAGTGGGTTTTCGCAGAACTATGTTGGGTTGTATCTTTATGTACTCATCTGTAATTTATGTTCTTGTAAATGTAAAACCAGACAAGCCATTTGGTAAGCAGGTAACGAAATTGAGATAGATTTCGATATCATACATCAATATAATACAAATAACATACATATTTAAGTGTGGGAAAGCCATGCTTCGGCACGAATAGGCCAGCTCGACCAAAGAGATACCACGGCCATACAGAAAACCGATGTGAGACAACGATTGCGTTGTGTTTCGTCGTGTGAGTGAGGTTACCGGAGGCCCCCTTCCCAGTCTCCCTAATGCGCGACTTTTCCACAATCCTCAAATTCACAATGCCCAAGAGGCCAGCAACGCAGTTGTAACACCTTGGTGTTTCAGGTGTCCCTGGGCGGCGCCGAATGTTTACTATGAGGTGAACAGTCTGCTCGTTTACCGGCTTACGCCATAAAAAAGATCGAAATTGTAATCATGGGTACCAAATTAATGTGTTAGTTCGCTGATGGGTACAGAAACGTGACTTTACAAAGAAAAATCTATTTATGAAAAAATAATATTAGTAATGACACTTATAACGATATACTCCTACCTGAACATTCACCCGAAGAAGTTCTAAGAAGATACTATTAATAGTAAAACTTATTATAAGCAATTCTATGTCGAATATTCGTAAAAGTTATAAAAGTATTGTCTGAAGTATTCGTAGGTGAACGAACCCATTTCCGAACTATGGAAATACTAGATTGAAACTGAACAAGTACCAATATAAGTTTTTAACTTCACGTGTACTTACCTACTCGAAAAGTTTATTTTGAATGTTACGAGTACGACGAAGAAAATTGTAAAGTTTTTGAACACTTACCCTAGTTACGATAAAAACAAATAGTACCTAATACGTTAAGGCATTGGCTGCCAATAAAAAACTGTTGAAGGCAAATCCTCCGCTAATGTCGGTCACCGGTGACTGCCATGGCGTTTAACGTGTTAAGAATAGATTTTGTTTTAAATTATTACACGTCGAGTGTGACTGTGGGCCACGACTTTTACGACACGACAGATATTAAAAAAAAACTTGAACCCCCTTTTTTCGAAGTCGGATAATACTAAAACCTTTTCCTGAGCGCAAAAAACACTTTTTAAAAAACTGTATCAAAATCGGTTGCGCCAATCGAAGGATCATTGCTCACAAACATACATACATACTTATAGCTCAAACTGAGATTTCCTTTTTTAGTCAGTTTTGAAGTCGCTTAAAAATAAACACGTGATATGTGGAATACATACAGTTTTGAAGTAACATAATAACGCAATTACAAAAGTCAAATTACAAAATGACACATAATACGTACAAATTAAGGTTCTTATTTATTTTTTTCTTCGCTTTACGGTATAAGTAAGGGATATTAGCGTTCTTGTGAAAAGCACTTGAATTCTCAAGGGGACTTTAAGGCAGTTCCCGTAACATGAGTTCACGGTACTCCTCCACGTTCTGCTCTACCTCTTCCGGGTTAATAATATGAATAACTGACTTTAAAGAAATAAGTATTACGTGATTTTCATTGTAATTTGAGCTGTAAAAGTAATTTGACGTTTAATAGTGAAAAATGTTAGTTTTATTAACTCCGAGACCCGGAAAACTCCGTATCGTTTTTAATTTTTAAATCATTTGAACCTACTCTGTACTTTCACGAATATTTCAAGACCAAAATTAGCCAAATCGATTCAGTCGTTCTCGAGTTTTAGCCAGACTAACGAACGGAAATTAATATTTATTTGTATAGATAGATTCGATAAGATACTTTTTACTGCCGTCCTGTATTTTAACTATTAATTATACTCAAATACTTTTCTTTTTTCACACAGATACGGGCAGAGCCTGCGATACACAGTGATGAAGCTGTTAGGCTATTTAATACTCTTAATTTGGAAGATTGAAGTTTAACCGACGGCTTTCTCGCCATGTCATTGGTTGAGTGAATATTCTCGACCAATGACGGACGAGAATGCGATTGAGCTCAATTTGAAAGTTCGAATTGACGGCTACAGAATATTCTAGATGGAGCAAACCGTTATTAATCTTAGAAAAGGTTTACAGTGACATCACATCGTCCAACACTATGATACAATAGAACAACACTCTTTCATCATACATCTATGTTAACGATTAACTACTGGACACTGTATTTGCAATAATCACCACGCGCACATATTGGAGATAATAGTTCGAATTATTCAAGCTAATTAGGTTCATTTCCCCATATTTTTTAAACTTATACTTAAAAGCATTTATTTTAATTAAACCATAATCTGGTAATTTTGAAACGTCAACAAATATAAAATAAATAATACTGTCTATCTGGTCGGCGGTGAAGCTAGGTGCTCGTTCCAAAATATAGATTCAAATGGAGAAGAACGAGTAATGAAATTTCGGTACTCTTTTAATTATTCTTCAATGACTTCCTACCTAACATTGTTTGTCTTTCTAAGCTTAAAATGGAAATCGTGTAATTTCCCTGTAAGCTTCGTTATGAAATTATTTTAGCTAAATAGTTGCTGAATATTATACTTAATTAACAGATAGTTTATGAACTGCTCCAAAATTCGTTAAACAGTACATTCTTAGAATCATTTTCTTCATTACCACATTCATCACTTTATAGTTAACTGATAACTTAAATAAATTAAGCACTTTATTAAGTACCTCAGTAAGTGAATTAAGTAGCAACTTTTGATTATGGAAGATCTAAAACTTTTATTAACAGTACCGAAAACTAAGTAAATCTAATTAAAATTAGGGATTTTGTCTAAAATATTCTTGCAAGTTTTGCTGGTAAAATATTTGACAAGAAACTTTGTATAATGAGATTAATATCGAGGTAGATTTGGGACTAATTGTCAAGTTGCCGGTTACTTTCAGTATTTATTGACTTCTTAAATTAAATTATATTTTATAACTGTGTGTCCTGTTGCTCGCGCCTTTGTACGCGTAAAATATGAAATTTAATACATAACATTATCATTTAATCTTTAAAATAAATCTATCCTATTTTGCTCTTTAGTACATCAGGTACGTCTGTCAATAAAAGTACAAAC